TGTTTTGCTTAAATGTATTTTTTTAATTCAGTTTTAGTTCTAGTAATTTAAGATTTTAGTACTTTTACTTTTTTATTTCAGTTAGGTGCTAAGGCAACATTTCTAATTTTCGTTATTAATTTTTTTCTCAAATATTTATATTTTATTTCATTTAATCTTTTTCAATTAATGGAACCGATTTTTTAGTTTACTAAAAATAATACCAACACTGGTGATTGTTCTTTGTAGCAGTGCCTAGAACAGAATGTATTGTTCATTTTCACAGAGGGATGAGGTGGATGCTGTGTCTCTGGATGCCACTCACGCATTCATAGCTGGGAAATGTGGCCTTGTCCCTGTTGTGACTGAATATTACGGTATGTAAAAAATCTAACATCCGAATGTACCATGACATACTCACTCATGTCTTCAAGTTCTTCTCACCTTGTTTTGATTTCTCTTTGCTGGTTCATTTGAAATTTAGAAGAGAAATGTGAGAATCCTGAAGGAGTTGGAGGCCATTTTGAAAGTGATGGTAATAAAGGGCTGAAATGAGCTTAGCATAAATGATGCATCTCTACATATGTCTTTACACATTTTTTTTATCTATGCAGAATTACCATCAGTGTATGGTGTGGCAGTTGTACGTCGGACAAGTAGGAGTTTATATTTTGGAAGTCTGGGCGGCAGACGCTCCTGCCACGGTCACATGTACAGCCCTGCTGGCTGGGTTTTACCTGTAAGACACACGCTCAGCACAGAGCACAACAACAGCGCCCCATGTCAGCCGAATAATGGTACTCCATGTTCTTCTCTATTACTTGGTATCTTAATCAAATAGTTTGAATATAATATATTAGTTACCTTTAATGCAGGGTTTCAGTATTTTATCTGTTTGCTTTAATGTTATGTGACTGTTAACCGCTGTCAAAGAACCTTATTGAAAAATTCATTTAAAATCTAACTGGGATACTTTAAGTAAATATTTTACGTCTATGGGTTTCAGCTGACCAAAACAGTCCTGGAACCCATCCTTTAAAGGGTCATGAAACCCCAGACTTCATCTTCCGGGTTTAAAATCTACATTGTGTTGACGTCACAACTTGTGACGCGGCAATGGACTAATAGTACATCGATGACGTGTCGGTGTCTGTTAAATTATTCATGAGACTGCGTGTTCTTATCCTATGAGAAGATGCTTCGCTTAAAGGGGTCATATGATGCTTTTTTAAAGATCATTATTTGGCATGCTGCTTCAACACTAACTGCGGTTACTGAAACCACGCCTTCTTTCTTTGCGTGCACATTTGGGCCACATTATGCAAATATTTCCACATAGTGAGGTAGATATGTGGGGGCATGTTAGAATGAGACATTTTAGGGGGGCATGGCAGAGTCTTAACTTTGATGAATATCTTTGGTTTTGAGACTTTAGTCTTTGCAACTTCAGGGATCTTATCTATGCACAATCAGCTTGTAACACTCCAAAGAGAAAGGAAAACTTGAAATCGCATCATATGACCCCTTTAAGTATTCACAACAGCATGTGTTGATTTGCTATGACAGACTCTTCAGACTGTGAGATCGCATATATTATCTGAGAGAATAGAAACGTTCATGAATCGAAGGAGAGTGTTTGTTTTTGCTTTTTTAATAAGAGTTCGGCACAAACGCGATTCATTCACTTAGTGAGTATAACCGTTTTTACAGCTCCATGACACAACCCGTCAAAAGGCTTAAATAATCGCCGCAGAATAAGCCTTAAAAAGTTATCAGAGGTGCAACAGCACGTTCATGTATGTTTTCGATACAGAGTGCAAATGGCTGTGCATTTATTTGTGTTTTTAACTCAATGGGAGCGAAATGAAACTGTCTGAACCCCAAGCTGTGTTTGTGTTGTCTCTCTCCCCTCTTCCCCCACCGCTCGCAGCGCACCACGCCCACTTTTTTAGCATTTTTTAAAACTATGGTGAGAACTAACCAGTGCTGAAACCGGGGGTTTCATGACCCTTTAAAAGGAATAGTTCACCAAAAAATGAAAATTTGCTGAAAATGTACTTACTCTCAGGCCATTCAAGATGCAGATGAGTTTGTTTATTCATTGCAACACATTAGGAGAAATTTTGCTTTACATCACTTGCTCACCAGTGGATCCTTTGCAGTGAATGGGTGCCGTCAGAATCAACTGATAAAAACAGCTGATGAAAACATCACATTAATCCACATGTAATCCACACGACTCCAGTTTATCAGTTAACGTTTTGTGAACTGAAAAACTGCATGTTTGTAATGAACAAATTCATCATTAAGATGTTTTCAACTTTAAACCATTACGAGTCCTCTATCCATGATGAAAAAGTCATCTGGTTGAATCAGGAGAGAAATGTGCTCATATCAAGCACCTTTTACAAGTTGTGAGAGGACAACAGGAGATGGACTTTTTCACTGGAGGAAATGTTTTTTTTTGGAATTATGGATTGGTTTGAAACGGCGCTTTAAAGTTACAATGTCATCTGCATCTTGAATGGCCTTGGGATGTGTATGCTTTCAGCAAATTTTCATTTTTTTGGTGGACAATTCCTTTAATGTAACCCTCTCTGTTTTCAGTGTACACTGAGGTGTTTTGGAAAGGTTGTTTGCCAGGAGGTCAAGGCAATCTATGTAAGGTGTGTATGGGTGGGACTGAGGAAGCTGCCACCAAACGGTGTGCTGACAACCATAATGAGCGTTACTATGGCAATATGGGTGCATTAAGGTGAGGAATTGCTGTTCTGAACAGTTCAGATAAAATGGTATACAGAAAAATATGTCTTATCTCCCATTACTAATGTACTATAGTGCAAACCATGCAGCTTTGCAGGCTTTAAAATGTATTTTACTTCAGATGCTTGGTTGGAGACCCCAGTGGAAAGAGCTTCGGAGACGTGGCCTTCATGGAACACCACAATCTGGAGAGCAACATTGAACGTAAGATGTAAACTCTGAGAAATGTCATCGGTATGAATCTCAATGGTAATATGTGTGATGTGTTTGATGGACAGGTCTAAACACCAGTGGCTGGGCAGAGGGTTGGCTCACTTGGGACTTTGAGTTACTCTGCGGCGATGGCAGCCGGGCTCCTCTGACAGAGTGGAAGACCTGCAACTTAGGGGCAATCCCTCCAAATATTGTTATGACACGTCCTGTTCTTATAGCTCGCATTTATGACCTTTTAATGAAGTCACAGGTCTGCACACTGAAGTGATTATCATTTGATTGATTTGAGAGTCTTTTAGAATCTGAAACCTGATGTGTTTTGTGCTATAGGAAACCATAGCAGCTCGTCCAAATTCTGGGTTCCACCTGTTTGAGTCTCAGCAATATGGAGAGAGTGACCTGCTCTTTAAAGATGTTACAAAGTGCCTTGTTCACACCAGTCACATGGACTACCGCACCATACTGGGAGAAGAGTTCTATTCACAGACTGAGAGCATCTTTAACTGCACACACTCAAGTGAGAATAAATGGAAACAAATTATTATTATATATGCACACCAATTATTTGTTTGCGTTTATATTCAATTACCGAACTTTTAAAAAGTTTGATTTAAAAAAAGCACATAAGTAAAATGTCTCTGATTATTAATGCATTTTTTAAATTTGGGCTATTGTTTTTAATGAATTATTGATGAATTATTTATTTTTCATTTTTTGACAGATATCTTACAGTTCTGCAATCAAGATGTGTGCAGCATATTCTAAACAACATCTATGAAACAAAATTTTTGACAATGTTAAAGAAGCATGGGTCATAATGTATATGGTTTATTTTGTATCATTACTGACATACAATAAAATACTTTCTTAAGATATATTATATATATCAGTGAGTGCAATACTGGAGAGTTTATCGGTTTCATCACAGCTGGAGATGCTTCAATGTGCCAAAACCATAGGCCAAAACGGGTGGACATGAACTAAACTACATTTACCATCATGCACCTGTGTAACAACACGGAAGTTCTTGTTTAGATGACCGCTACAGCTACTGTACTAATGTTTGCGAAAGACTTTTGGTGCCAAGGATTTTATTAATACAGGTACGTTATTAAAGTAATGTAATTAGTTGTGCATCTGAAATATTTGTTAAAAGTATAGGTATATTCACACGAGGCATAATGTCCATACCATGTTTATTAGTGTCCTAGCTTACTTGCCATTTCAATCAAGTTATACAATGAGTTGGTCACATTCCACCTAACTTACAGACCTCACAATTAACTGACATGACTATTTTATCATTATGTTTATAACGTAATAATTGACTTTATGGTCGGATACCATTAAATATATTGCACAAGATTTATGTTCAGTAATGTTATGATGTAATAAATACCATACACCGTTTAGATATTGCACAAAAGGTTATATATATCATAAGGTGTTGTTATTATTAGGTAATTTTTCATGTATATTGGAAACACATTTCCAAGTATATTTTACTGAATACGTGCCGAGCTTCAGAAGCGTTTTGCAGCTCTTAACCCTGGCTGGGCAGCAAGTGCAGGTGCTGTGGCCCCAGATGGAGATGTGTTTCTGGAAGACGAGCAGGTGCTGAACTTCAGAATACCTGCATGTGATGCCTGTGGAGGTGTACTCAAACCTGAGGTGACGTTCTTTGGTGATGTAGTGAACCGGACTACAGTTAATTTTGTGCATAATAAGCTGGCCGAGTCTGATGCTGTGCTTGTGGCTGGATCTTCTCTTCAGGTGAGTAACCCTTTATCAATATCACTTTTAAAAAATACTTCCTATTCACCTAGACCAGGGTTACTTATTCCTACTCACTGTCTGCCATCTACTGGTGTAATGATGTCTCATACATAAAGGAGTCAAAGAACAAATTATTGTTCATTTACAGATTTTTTGGGTAAAAAACATAATACAACAGATTGCTGCTTAAGTTTATAGAATTATTTTGACATATTCACATGTTCTTGGTTAGTTAGCTAGAGTTTAAAGTGCAATTAAAAATACAGCATTGGCACTAACGAGTTAAGAGGAAAAACTTTATATTTTATATTAAATACTTTAAAATTGTTATTTCAAGTTTATTATTTTAAATTATTATTTTAAGTGGGTTCATAGGGACAGTTGCATTTCCCATTTAGAATTTTCTCTCTAAAAAGTTACTGAGCTCCTCAAAAATCAATGTGGGAAACGTTCATGTAATCATGGAATTCTAAATGAGCTGTAAGGTCATTTAGAGCTTTTTAGGTGAATGGATTTAAAGGGGTCATATGACGTTGCTAAAAAGAACATTATTTTGTGTATTTGGTGTAATGAAATGTGTTTATGCGGTTTAAGGTTCAAAAAACACATTATTTTCCACATACTGTACATTATTGTTTCTCCTCTATGCCCCACCTTTCTGAAATGCGTCGATTTTTACAAAGCTCATCGGTCTGAAAAGCGAGGTGTGCTCTGATTGGCCAGCTATACAGTGCGTTGTGATTGGCCGAATACCTCAAGCGTGTGACGGAAATGTTACGCCCCTTACCATACTGTGATGCCGTCTCCCGGAGCGACGAGACAAAAACATTAAAACCCATTATAAACGAGGCATTTGTTGCATCCAGTGGGGACATAATTACGGATTATAATGACTTATACTGTCTTTTTATGCGTTGCGTTGCATTGTGCCGCGTAAACATAAAACCATGTCTGCATTTGTGATCGGAGAAATTACAAACAACAAGCGCTACTCTACACTGCTCAAAACTCGCGTTTGAATCATCAGTGGCAAATCCTTTAAATATAAAAAACTTACTTGCAGTCTGTGAGTCAGAACAGCCGGCATTATAGTCTACTCTACCAGGAAACAGTCCTCCATAAAATGTGCTGCGCACATCTGAATATTTGGGTTGAAGTGTTCTGGAACAGTGTTGTAAATACAACTTAACCACTGATTTCTAGTCGTGTCCTCTTTTGGAAGGCCAAACAAAGTAGTTTCGCTTTCACAACGAAACACAGCGCCTTCACGACATGGCGGCGGCGGCAACAACAATACTACAGCGAGAATAAAAGTTACGCCTTCTTTCTTTGCGTGAACATTTGGGCGGCGTTATGCAAATCTTCCCACATCGTGACGTAGACATGTGGGGGCGTGTTAGAACGAGCCGTTTTAGGTAGGCGTGGTTGACTCTTAACTTTTATAAAGAATATCTCTTTGGATTTAAGGCTTCAGTCTTTGCAACTTTACAGATCTTCTTTATGCACCAAGAGCTTGTAACACTCCAAAAAGAAAGGAAAAATTGAAATCGCATCATATGACCCCTTTAAAAGATTTGAATCAAAATCCCCGGGGTTATAATACTTAACTGAAACTAAAACCACAAAAGAATTTTGATACTTGAAGTAAAATAAATGTTAAAATAAACTGAAATTAAAGAAAAAATACTTTATTTCAGCTAGTTGCAGAGGTAACATTTTTATGGAAGCTTGTTTCCACCATTAAATAAAAAAAGGTAATTACGACTTTTTTTTCCTTGTAATTCTTAAATTATATCTCGCAATTTTGTCATCTTATTACTTTTTTTTTGTCTCCGAATATAAACTATATGAGAAAAAAAAACTTTTGAATTATTGTGAGAGAAAGTCAGTTACCTTTTTTTTTACTTTTTTAATTCTGTGGCAGGAATAAGCTTTCATTTATTTCTCATTTTCATTTAGTTTAACTTGATGCAAGAATAACTGAAACTAAAGCTGAAATAAAAATAAATACAAACTATATAGCATAAATATAAAAAGCATATAAAAAGCATAAAAACTAGTGAAAATGACGAAAACAAACAACGTAGAAGTGTAAAATAACTAAAAATAAAGAAATTAAATAATAAAATATTTATAAAAGTAAAATATTATAATTAAAATGAAAATGGAAAGTAAAAAATTTAAACTAATTAAAAATATTATAATAATAGTATCATTACTATATATTATAATACTATAATAGTATTTACTATAATAGCAATAGTATCTCAGTAATACGAAAATAACACTGATCCCCACAAATAGTTCCAACCCTGTTCCAGTGCAGTCTTCAAGTAAACCCAAAGACCTTGAGTGGTTGGTTCAGGTGTGTTTGACTAGAGTTTGAACTAGTTAATGAGTATTCCTGATGTAGATAATGCAAAGAATTTTTCCTCCTTGTCTCAATACTTTCTCAAGACATTTGGAAAAAGGTGAAGGCATTTGTTTTCCTTTTTAGGTTTTTTCAGGGTACCGCTTTCTTCTCGCTGCTAGTGAAAGAAAGCTTCCAATAGCCATTGTGAATATAGGACCCACGAGAGCTGATCATCTTACTGACATCAGGGTGAGTGCACGTTGTGGAGAAGTGCTGCCGGCAATTCAACTCTGAGAAATGGACTCTTTTCCTTGAAGCTATTCTGAACCTCAGCATTCGCCTCGCCACAAGATTACTGGAACATAGATTTGGTTTGGTTGTAGGCTGCTTACATAAAACAACAGATCTCTACCTCAAGTTACAGAATTACTTTAACATATACACACATTCTTTAGCTAGAGTTTGAAGTGCAATACAGAATACAGCATTGGCATTAATGAGTTAAGCTTAAATACTTCAAAATGATAAAGTAGGTTCATAGGGACAACTGCATTTCCCATCTAGAATTGACTCTCTGAAAAGTTACAGAGCTTCTCAAGAATCAATGTGGGAAACAGTAATGGTAATGATGACATTCTAAATGAGCTGTATGGATTATGACTTGTTTTATTTACTAACAGAAGTTTGGTTAAAGATGAATGACTATTTAAATATGTATTTTCGAATATATGTGAATGTACTAGGATGTTTTTAAAATGTATTGAAACACATTAAAAAATGTAAATTTGTTCTGTCTGAAAATATCGGTCATGTTCAGTTGTATTTGTATAATGCTTTTCACAATACACATTGTTTCAAAGCAATTTTACAGAAAATCATGGCGTTAATGTTTATAACATCTTAATATCTTCATGCCTTATAGTTGCTTGCATTGAGAAGTTTAGAGCTGGGCGATTATTTAGTTTACATTTTTAAACAATATAAACAATCAAGCAGTTGAGATTTGTTATATATATCGCTTTGAGTATAATGTATGTATATAATTTTAGATATACAGTGCCCTCCACTAATATTTGCACCCTTGGTAAATATGAGTAAAGGTGGCTGTGATCTTTCATTCAAAAAATTCACAAAATTCTAACCTTTCGTTTAAGTAAAACAATTGAAAGTGGGGGGAAACTCACATTATGAAATTCTTATGAGTAAAATATCTCTGAAGTATATTATTTAAATTTTTTAGCAAACCAGGGTGACTAGGAGCATGAAATTGTGCAGCCTTGACTTCCTGTTCCACAGGATTATAAATATGAGGAACACAAGGGCCAAATTCCCTTATTCATCCATCCCAAGGAGTAAAACCAAAGAATATAGTTCTGATGTGCAGAACAAGATTGTTGAGCTTCATAAAATAGAAAGTGACTGTAAGAAAATAGCTAAAGCATTGAAAATCCCCATTTCTACCATCGGCAATAATTAAGAAGTTCCAATCAACTAAAGATGTTACAAATCTGCCTGGAAGAAGACGTGTGTCTATATCGTCCTAATGCATGGTGAGGAGGAGAGTTTGAGTGGCCAAAGACTCTCCAAGGATCACAGCTGGAGAATTGCAGAGATTAGTTGAATCTTGGGTTCAAACGGCCCCTACATCACCACATGTTGTTCGGGAGGTGTTTCAAGAAAAACTCCAGCATATTCAGTTGTCAGACACAACTGGAACTTCAAAGGGACTGGCTTTTATGGTCAGATGAAACTAAAAGAAAAGAGCTTTTTGGCAGCAAACCCACCAGATGGGTTTGGTGCAAACAGGGATAAAAAGTACCCCATGTCCACAGTAAAATATACTGCTGGATCTTTAATGTTGTGGGCCTATTTTTCTGCCGGAGGTCCTGGACATCTTGTTCAGATACATGGCATCATGGATTCTATCAAAAACCAACAGAAAAAAAAAAATCTAAACCTGACTGCCTCTGTTAGAAATCTCATAATGGGCCGTGGTTGGATCTTCCATCAGGACAATGATCCAAAACAAACATCAAAATCAACACAAAAATGACTGCTTTGTGTCACTGAGCACAAAATGAAGCATCTGCCATGGCTGTCCCAGATCCCTGACCTGAACCCTATAGAAAATGAGTGCCAACATGGAGCTGGGAATCTGAAGGATCTGAAATAAAAAAAAAGGTTGAGATTCACTGCCTGAAGTTATTATATGCACACATTATTACACGTTGCTTTGGTAAGAAATCCATGAAGAGCATAAATGATACTGAAAATAGGTGATGCATGAGAAAAAAATATTAAATTAACAAATAATTGAATAAATAATGAATGTAAACACATATTTAATAATAAAAAAATAAACATAAATCAGGTTTATTCAAAGGGTCACAGAGGGCAAAGTGACAGTTTCCCTAGAAAAGCAGAGATCAGTCAGAACTGGCTGTTTGTTAAATCTCTCTCTCAGACGCTCAGTCCACTGTTGCACATGACATTGTACTTCTGACCATAGCTCTTCAGGAACACTGAAAGAGTAAAGACAACAGCGATGATTTATGTTATGGGTGTGCCATTTGACACAAACGGTGCACACCACCAGTGGTGTCATACACAGACAGTTCCCGAATCCTTTAGTTTGGTCAAACCAGTATGAGGCTGGATAGCCTAACAGGATTCCAAAAAGAGTGCACAAGTTCCAGTCATTATACAACTCCTCTCCCAATACAATCACTGGGGAGCCTTTGTCCAGCTCATTCATGAAGAATCCTGAAAGAGTTTTGATCATATCCTCAGTTTTCTTTTCAAAGCCAGCCAGAACAGCTTGTTTTTTTGAGGGACATACGTCAATCAGAATGAGACCTTTGCTTTGGAGCAGTTCGTCCAGGTGGGACTCGATAGTGGCACGATTAAAAATTAATGTGTTGCCATCAATTGACAGAATCCGTAGTGGATTGGTTACAACTCCAGACTCCTGTAGAGCATTGAGGTACATCTGAAGCTGTTCTGGAGATGCTGCATTACTGTCGTAAAGTAGCGCAAGTTTGACGCCCAGATCCACAGCCATTATTTGAACAGTCACATCCAGACATGTGGCCGGAGATAAACGTTTTTTACGAGGACACAGCAACTTCTGTGCAGCAGAGATGAGCATTTCTGATGAAGCAACCATGTGCAACCCTTTCCAAGTACACATATAAAATATTTGCTGACAGCAGGACACACAAATTGATTAGAAAAGTTACTGACTACTTAATTAATGAAGGCTCACATTCTAGCAATGGTCAGGTCCGTAGTGGTGTTGTTGTTGATGAATGACACATTTTTATCGACTCGGTCATTGTAATGAATCGAGTGAATGATTAATTGAGTTGTTCATAACACAGAAAGATTCTTGTCACACTGGCGGTGTAACCTGCAGAAAGGGCGACTGAAAGAATCTTGTTGAACTCGATGCAAAAGATTCGAATCTAGTGAATCATAATCCTTCCAGAAAAAACTTCCTGTTAGTTGCAACAAGTTAAAAGTGCTACAATGTACAGTCGAACATAGATTTTTGTCTCATTGCAGAATATTATAAACATTTTGAATAATTATAAAATAACGCGAGTCGTCCATTTTCCCCCAAAGCGTCATTAGAAACGCCACCGATATACGCGGACTTTTATTTTGAAATCTTTCAACTGAGAAACGGAAGTGTATACCATTTGACAACTTGTACAGTTGTTAAATACCAAATGGAGACTATTGTAGTACAGTATCATAGTAATATATCTGTATAATGAAGCGAATGTAACGTTTATGTTCCACCGGCTAATTTCGGTGATTTTGTTGTTAGTGAGTTTCAATAGTTGAGTTTAAAAAAAAGTAAAGTTCACAATGGGCTCAGAAGATGTGCTCAAGAGTGCTTCAACACTGGCCTCTTATAATGTTCTGCTTCAGGTACTAATACACACACACTGCTATTCTGAGCACACTAAATACACCTATATTAGAGACATATAATAAAGCAGTATGTTGATATATTTTTTTACGTTGCAGGTGATGTTTCGAGTGTTGACGTTTCTCTTGAATGCATTTACTTTGCGGTTTGTGTCCAAGGAACTGATAGGCGTGGTAAATGTTAGGTGGGTTTGCAGGTACAAATCATAAACTCGAACATTCCTTTCTATGGCCCACTAACTGCAACGTTTGCTTTTGTTACAGGTTGATGCTGCTCTATTCTACATTGGTGTTTCTGTCTAGGGAGGCGTTCCGGAGGGCGTGTCTAATCAGCGAAGGGGCGGGGCGTAACTGGAGAAAAGTCATCAACCTGTTATGGCTCACGTAAGCAGAAATACCTGTAGGTTTATTAACCAAAATTTGCTTACCCCTGGAACCAACACGCTGAAACGTGGGGAGGCACTAATGAACTCTATATATAAAAAAAGGATTGAATGATTACAATCAGAGATTTACAGGAAATAAGTAAATCTATCATATCTGAAATTTCAAGGAATAGTTCACCTAAAATTTAAATGTTTTTTTATTCTCTTTCTTTTACCTTCTTCTCAAACTCTTAGATTTCCTGTGGGTTGTGTGTGGGGTGTGCTGTTAGTGTGTGTGTGGTGGTGGGTGCTCCAGGCACCTGATCCAGAGTCCATCCCGCATTATGTTCCCGCAGTTGGATTGTTCTGCCTAGCTGCACTTACAGAGCTGCTGGCTGAACCCCTCTGGGTTCTTGCACATGCGCACATGTTCGTCCGTTTGAAGGTGTCAGAATCTGCCTATCATGCTTTATATTGCACTTTATATTGTCATTGTAGATTGAATAAGATGAATGTATCTGATCAAATGACACATATTCGCAGGTGATTGCCGAAAGCTTAGCCATGACTGCTAAATGTCTTGTTACCGTCGTGATGGTGGTCTCAGCGCCTCAATGGGGACTCTATATCTTCTCTGCTGCCCAGGTATATATGTTTTACATGTTTGCATACTGAACATATAGAACATATATAGTTTTTGGTTGTCTTCTGGTTTCTAATCTTGATTCTGTGTGCTTTTTATTTGACAGTGTGTCTATGCAGGGTTTTTGTTGCTTTGTTACGTGTTATACTTCATCCATTTCCTTGGCTCAGAGGAAGCAGAGAGTAAATTGTTCCCTGTTAGTCACATAACAGACCTTCTGCCATCTAGAGTGGATCACGAGGTGACTTATTTTATAATACGACACCACATAATTTTTTGTTTCAGTGAAACAACTACATTGTTTGTTTGTTTTTGTTTTTAGCCACTACTAAACTGGAAGTTGACCACACTAACCTGGAGCTTTTTCAAACAGTCATTTCTCAAACAGATACTTACAGAAGGTTAGTGCCTATCATGCTTAATTACGCAGTATTTTTTTGTCTGAATGTTCAAATGCTTCTAATAAATATTTCGCTTTGATTTTATAGGCGAGCGTTATGTGATGACGTTTTTGAATGTGCTTAACTTTGGAGACCAAGGTGAGCTTGTACATTCATATACACAAGCTATTATACACAAACAGCGTATTCATATTATAATTCTTATTTTCCTTTCTATTTACAGGGGTTTATGATATAATAAACAATCTGGGCTCAATGGTGGCTAGATTTATTTTTTTGCCCATTGAGGAGAGTTTCTATGTGTTCTTTGCTAAAGTCCTGGAGCGTGGACGAGATGTACGATATCAAAAACAAGTCAGTGTCTGTTTATGTTCCTAATTTAATGTAGTGCAGCTACCCAGATGTGGGTTGGCAAACTGTAAAATGTTGATTGGTCCA